GACGGCGCGCAAACCACCACCCTAATCGGCGCCGTGCAGTGTGTGTGTGCACCTCGGGAGCGGCGTAACGTCTCGAATCCCCGGCCGAATCGCGACGCGAGTCCGATTAACTTGAGAGAATGCGCGCGGAGGCGGGCAGGAGGGAAGGGGGCGGCGGTGGCGGGGGCGATGGTGGTGGTGGCGGCGGTGGCGGCGGCGGCGATGATCCGCCTCGCGGACGACGTCGAGGCCGATCCTCTGGGGGAACAGCGCGAAGATGCCCGCAGCGCGAGATGGGTGTGAACCCCGTGGGTACGTGCGCGTTGACCGACGGCGGCGGCAGCCCTGCCGACACCGCTCTCTCTCGCCGCTGGAGCAACCCTCCGACCTCCAACCCCTCCGCGGAGCCGCCTCCAACCCTCGCCACGGAGCGGCGTGAGCGGCGGCGGCGACGGCGACGACGGCGGTCCGCGCCGGCGTCGTCCCGTTGGCGGCAATCCCCGGTCTTCGACTTTCGTTTCGAGGCCCTCTCCTCCTGTATACGCCGCAACCTTCACGCCGTACCTGCGCCGTCGACTGTAGGGAATGATCGGGACGCGCGCGACGCGACGGCGACGGTTCGGGGCGCGTCGAGATGAGTGCAGGATGCGCGCACGGGGCGGCGTTTCTCGCGGGCCTCGCGGCCGCGATCGACGATCCATTGGAACGTGGCTCTGGGAAATCGGGGAATCGTTTCTCGACATCTCGCGATGACTCTCCAGCTCTCAGCGGTCTCAGCTCGGCCGCGATTTGCGCGCGCCCCATTTCTCTCTCTCGCGATTATTAATAAGATTTTCCTCGGCCCGCGAAGGCGGGAGGTGCATCTCGCGAGAGCGGCGGTACCGAGGGTGCTATTACGCCTAAAGCCGCCGCTGGCGTTATCTATCGTATGACGAAAATTGCGAGAGAACCGAACGCACTTTATCGACTGCTCTCTTGACTACAGATTTCTCGATGACTTTTTTTTTAGACTTTTTTTAATGGAAATTAACTGAGAAGGCATTACGCCATATGCCGGATTTTAAGTTTCAGATGAAATATAAACTAGTTTCCGTTTTATGATTTGCTATTATTTTGAGCAACATGTTTATAAAACAGAAAATATATTAAAGCTTGAATATATAAATGTCGAAACGTATATCAGAGACAGCTCGACAACCAAGTACACAGCATAAATCGCAATACAAAATAATCAACTCGGAATCGATTGTCTCATAATTTCCGATATGACGAGTTTCGTCACAGATTAAAAAATCCTGTTAATAAAAAAAACATTCCTTATTTGAAATAATCGCAGTAGTCCGTTCCTCACTATTTTCAGATGTCGAGATATTAAATTTCAGTTACACCTGCATCTCTCTTCATAAGCGTGATATTTTTATGTATTTATTTATTTATTTATCACGCGATAAACGGTTGGTGCGAAGGCGAAGGTAAGCGCGGCAGAATTCTAACCGAGTCTTTATTACGAGATATCCTAACTAGAATTTCAAATATCCTATATTAAATTCACGAATATAAGATCATCTTCCCCGAACACAATATTGGATCTCTGAGTCTCCGTGATATTTACACAAGGGGGTTGCTCTATGCTCGGAGGACCGCCTCGCTACGTCGCGAAAGTAGAATGGAAAACTTATATTGCGCTTCTCTAACTTCTCCAACCAGCAAGAAAATTATATTTTTCTAGAAAGCTTTCATTTCGATGATATCACAGATTCGCAGTTATGAGACCGATCGATCTTTGTAAGTCTTGGGAAAAGATACATACGTATACCTAACTTTAGTGATCTCTTAATTTACGGAACTTTATTCTACTTTATTCTTCATATCGCGAAAATAAATAAATTCTACTTTTATCGTGGAAAGCGCAACTTTTCTTGCATTTATCAATGCAAATAATTCTCACATTAAGTTCCTTAATGTTAACGCGATACCTGTCTAAATTGATATCGGTATTCGCGGAGTTGCGAAACAATCTTATTTATGCATCGCGCAATAATCCGGTGTGTAAGTAATTTGAACTGCCTTCCCAAGTCCATGCATATTCATCAAGAGCATATGTCGCATTTATTGTTAGTGAAACGGATACACGTGTATTTTCAGAGATAATCACATCAAGGTAGCAACTTTTTTCAGATTTTTAATATATACATAAAGTTCCTTTTAACTTAGAACGTTTAATAACATCTCAAAAGTATCTTATACTTAGGACACCTTAATAATTCGCGAGTACTCTTTGACGCTATAATCCTGGCCTTGATCCTCTTTCGGAAACCCGAACTCTCCATTTATTAACTACAAAGTTAGGTATATTCCATAATTATTTCTATATGTATATACAAATATGCACAAATAAAATTCAGGAATTTTAAAAGAATTTTAGTATAATTTTTCTAATTAACGCTTGTTTATTTCTGAGGAACCGCGAGATTTTCCTACGTTTCTGCGGGTTTGCACGTGCACGGGAAACGCGTGCAAGCCAAAGGCGAGACGGAGAGAACTGCAAGACCATAAGATCAATATAGGGGATGTTAGTTCGGTAACTGCCTTCTGGTCTCTCTCTCTCCCTTTCTTTCCCTCTCTTCTCCCCCCTCTCTCTCTCTCTCTTTCTGACCCTCTTCAGCTTCCGTCTTATGTAATTGCATCATCGCGGTATCGCCGCACGGAATCAACGTCGCCCTATTGTCTGTGATCGAGAGTACAACATTTAACTCAAGTGCGGATTAATAGTAACCCGCAAGCAAAATCACGAGGCGAGTCTCGAGAGCCCGCGTTCTAGTTAAACAAATCTTACCGCTGTGAGGTGAAAACTATTATAGAAATTGAACGAATCGCTTGTACCGCGGCTCTGATTTAATTCCCAATTAGCTGATGATCCTACGCCAGTGTGCGCGTGCGATTAAATTCTTGGAAACTGCTGTCCATAAATCCGACCTACGACGCAGTTTACGGCATGTTTTCTTATACAGCATATATATTTTCTCGAACATATTTCTGTGATAAACACAGTGAGCGTTTTTAAGAAGAAGAATCAAATCCTAGCAAGTTGAACATGATAAATTTCCGATTACAATTTACGCGCATAGAGATTTTATTGTAGACATATATTTTTAAATTTACTTTTTATAACATTATTCAAAATTATAGCTTGCGTTACCGACAGATGTGAGATGTCGATAATCTTAACGAGAGGTCGCCAGAGATAAACGTGAAGCTTGTTAATTTGTTAATTACACTAATGTCCATTTCGGTCGGTGTAGATTATTTCTAATTCTTAGAATTAGATTAGATTTTACTAATTCCTAAGAATTAGAAAAAAATAAAAAGTAAGTTAAATAAACATAGACATAAATACGGCGACATAAATACGATTCAAATACATATAAAAACAATAAAAAATATACAAAATTACAAATTATTTAAACGTAACTATAATATTAAGTTATTCCATATGACGGTAATGTTTTGCAATATTATTTCCTCAATATAATAGATATCAAATAGGACCATTAGCTCAGTTGGTCAGAGCGTCGCACTGTTATTATATTGCGAAAGTCGCGGGTTCAATCCCCTCATGGTCCATGCTATTTCTTTTTGGCGAAATGTTTAAGAAGGATAAGTGTTATTTTTTTTGCAAGTGAAATACACTTCACTTGCAAAAATATATAAAATATGCATTATATAAATATATAACGCATATTTTATATCCTTCTTAAACATTTCACC